TTTCAATCGAGAGTAATTAGGTTAAGCTCTGATTGGTTGTTCGGATTCCCAACCTAACGTATCCTCCTCAAATGCAAGGGTACAAAAATTATGTGCACGTACTACTGTTTGCCTTTTCTCTTTTATCTAGTGCCAAAGTAACTATAAAGTTTAGAGAGTAAGTTGAGTTGCGTCTTTTAAGCGAATGTTAGACTTAATTCGGTGATTAAACTGCAGATTAGAAACATGCATTTTAAGCAAATGTAGGACTTAGTTCAGTGACTATACTGTGTACAAAAAGATCGAGTTCATCAGGGCGCTGTAGCTCGTCTAAAAAGTGAATCAAAGAAAAACAAAAAAGAAAGGACCGTCGCGTCAAGTTGGGTTTCAACGTGAAAAGCAGTAGCCTAATTATCATCATCACCACGAGTATTCTTGTATAGAATTAGAATCATCAATGTGGTCAACTTAGTAAGATCTTGCGACTGCGTGCGCGTAAGCAGTGGCTAACAAACGATCGCAGAAATGAGTTAAGTTAGAAAAAACTATAAATTGATATAACACTGTAATCGCGAGCTTGAAAACTTTGTAATTCATATTATTTGGAAAAATCGATTATTTTCGGCTTTACCAAATTTATCAAATCATCAGATGACATTACTTGGTTATTGTTCAACTTAATTTTTTTAGCTCATTTTTAAGATTTAAAAATCAAATTGATGGAAACATAATTTTAGCTTTGATGAATTAATTAAATACTAAGCAAAAATAAGTAGATACCGAATGACAAAGACCTTTACAAGCACGTGAGATAAAAAGATGAATATAATATGCTTTTACTGCATTACATAAAATAGAAATTCAAGCAGTAGGTCAATGTCATTTCAGCGTATGATACGCTAATACCACACTATACGTATCACTTGTTGAAACCTAACATTACAACACTGAGTCAACGATGTAAAAGAAAAGTATACTTTGAGTAAGAGCAAATAAGGCCTTGGGACCGATGCTAGCAGCTGGTTCCTGAAGAACAAAAATTGAACTTTTTGGTTTGTAGAAAAAATCTACGAGTTGTTTGCTTCAGTTAGAAGTGCAGACGTAATAAATTGACATACCTTGTAGAAAGCTAAGCCTTTTATTTTACTGTTAGTATGCTTTAACCGATGAAAAATCTTATTTTTAAGTTTATACTTTTTTTTTATATTTTTTTTATTTTCTTATTCTCAAAATTTCATAATATATAATCAATTATACACTTGAGGATACTGACAAGGTAGCTGATGTAGCTGTTAGGGTGCAGTTACTAGAACAATACCATTGGGCAAGGGGAGCCGAAAGATAATTAAAATTGCATAAATTATCATCTATTGTGGCCCTCAATAATTCAGTTTTAAGTACTAATCTAACTGTCCTCCTCATACCCATGTACAGTAGTCAAAATACACTACTTGGAGATTTCTTGCAAGATATTGAAAACCAGAGTTCCCATATCTCAAATTTCAAAGAACTCATGTTTTTAAGAACAGACATTTTAAGGCTTTAGAGTAGAGCAAGAAATTGTGTACAGAGAGTAACATTATTTAAATAAGACGATCTTATTAACCATTTACAAGCACTTTTTTGCTTCCTCTAAGACTTACGCCTAATACATTACCAACATCAATAATTTTGAAATGAAACAGGGGAAAATCGTTTGCGATTTTCACGAGAGAATGTCCCAACTTATTAATTAAAGTGCGAGAGTAGCAAAAAAAGAAGCAGCTTCCAACAATGTTTCTAAGCACCAACGCCTGATTCAAAATTATACCTAGAAATGGTTGGCCATGGAGCATTTATGCAAGGCCTACCCGATAGGTTTGAGGCCAACATGATGTCAAAGGTACTAAAAACGAATGTTGGCAGATTACAGATAGCTTTAGAAGCCGAAGAATTTGGGAAAATATTATACCCCAATACTCCGCTACCTTGTACAATCAAAATTTACATATGTGCGGTGCTCATCAGTTACACCTTACAGCTAAAAAAAATGTATGAGTAAATCAACAAGCTAAACAAGAATATTTAATGTATTTTCGGCCCAATCAAAACAATACACAGTAAGTTGAGTATGACGATCCCAACATTTATAATCGCAATAATATATCTTATTATTAGAATCTTAAGGACACAAAAATTTTGCCTCATACATTTTATTTGGAAGGGAAAATAGTACTACACCCAGCTCTCTAATATTAAAATGAGTTCACTGATTAATCTATAAAATTGTTACAAAAATCCAGTGGAATGCAATCTTAATAACCATTTAATGACTCGTAAAAAAATCATCAAAATTTCGGCCCCACAGAGCTAGTACAACTCCAAAATTAATTATTAATCTGTTTCAATTGCCCCTTCTAAACAAGTTTACTACATTGTGTATTTGGCAACTCACTAACTACTCTAATAGGAAATTACCCTTGCACTTGCAAAAACGTTTCGATACATCCACACTAATCATAAAAGGATACTAGCTTTCGCTCGACATCGAATTCTTTTAATAATCAACAAATTTTCAGACCAAATTCTTCTGAAGTTAAACTGAGCCATCCATTAAACACCAACGAAATAATTTGTGCAATCACCCGAGTTTTTGTCACAAGAAATTCGATACGCTAACATTAGGAACAGTAACGTTAACTCAACTTCATAAAAAATATATTTTTTACGTCTTAAGACACGATCACGAGAAACACCATTTAGTGTGACAGAATTATTAGTAAATTTGTTTCTATCTAAAGAACGAGCCAAGCTTTGTAATAACATAAGAGCCTTGATACTAAAAAAAAACTGTAGGTCCTATTTTATTTACAGGAAAAATTGCAACTACAAGCGATGGAAAGCGTGGACTTCAATTGCTCGATACAACGACAAATTATACAAGTAAATTAAGTAAACAAGAAAATTTTTACAATATCATAGATAATATTGGCGTAAGTAAAAAAAACTCGAAATCTCTGCTCACTTCTCAATATTGTAAGCCTCCACGTGTAATGTTTCATTGTAATCGTGTGTACAAAAAACTAGTCAGAATGAGTTTCAACAAAAATTCCTGTAACGCTTACTAACAGCCACGCTCAACTATACCTGTGCTTCACAAATCTCGTACATGTAGCCTTTATAAGCCTTTATAAGGCTTGGAAAATTTTCTGAATTCAGATTAAAGTATAGATGTCCCCAATGTAATAACACGAGGCAGAATTAAATAAATCACAGAAAAATTTTTCTGGCACGATATTATAATACAGTTTTATAAGACACGTTTCAATTAACTTTAAGATGAAGAGTAAGAGTATTTAGATTTGTTTTATGTAAAAAGCGACACTCTTGCCCTTACATCGTATGTACAACATAATATACCAACAGACTGACATTAAACTGATGATAATCATGTTTTTACTAAACAATATAGGGCACCCTCCTGCTCTACATAAGATAGAGGTCAGATCAATAAAGATAGAGATTAGATCAATGAAGATAGAGATCAGATCAATGAAGATAAAGATCGGATCAAGAGAGAAGTATTAGCTACTTTTGTAAACCATAAAATAGTCTGCTTTAGATCATCCCCAAAAAGCCAGGATCAAGCAGAGAAAAAAGTTATCGTCTCGTAATAGATCACAAGAAATGAAATGTTTTAACTACTTCTGATAACCCATTACCCAATATTACGGAGATAGAAAAAATTAATGGATACAAATTTGTTTCAGTATTTGATTTAACTAACGGATTTTATCCAAGTAAAGTACCTCCAGAAGATCGCCCCAAAATAGTTTTCAGAACTCCATACAGACATAACGAAATAACGAATACATATAGGTATGCCATTTGGATTATGCAATGCACACGCTACATTTTAAAGACTTACGGATTATGTACTATTAGAACTACAAGGCACATAACTACTTATATTATTTATTTATTCCATACTTCGTCCCTTTCGGGTTTGGAGGGCTTCCGTTACATTTCTTATCGTTATCTTTGCACATTACTTTTACATATGTTTTACATTTTCATTAATGATTTTTAAGTTACATAACCTATTCTTATTAGTAAGTAAACAAAAACATATAATAAATTTAAATAAAAGAACTTTTCAAAGATAATTTGAATCTAATTTGAAATTCATATTAATATTTATATTCAAATTTAACTATAAATGAAATAAAATGAAATCTATTAATAATACTGAAATAATTAGTCACTTTTTCTTTTATATAATATTATGAACCTAAAACTTTTCAAAGATAATTTGCTACTAATTTAAAATTCATATTAATATTTATGTTTAAATTTAACTAGAAATGAAATAAAATGAAATCTATTAATAATACTGAAACAATTAGTCACTTTTTCTTTTATATAATATTAGAAACTTTAAAAAAAAAAAAAAAAAAAAAATATACTGTCCATATAACCACTGCAATTAAATAAATTGAATCTTAAATACTACAGTCTTTTTGAAAGTATATTTACACTTCACTTTACACTTTACACTGTTTTTTTTAATCCTTTCTCTTCTTTCTTCTCTCTTCACATATCCTTCCCTTCTTCCTTCTTGATTTCTTCATCCTATTTCTCTTGGCACTCTCAGGAACTCTCCCCTTCTTTTCTTTTCCTAACTACTCTTCTCAATATTTCTATTTCCTTTGCGCTCTTATCAAGTATATCTTCTATTACTTTTTCGCTCCTTGTTTTTTCGCATCTCTTCAGTATGTGTGTCTGATTTTCCTCCTCTTCCTTGCATAATCTACATTTCCTTTCTTCTTCTTCCTTCCAATGTTCTCTGCTTTTACATTCATTACCACATCTAAATCTTGCCATTAATTTTCTATCTTTTATTGGTATTTCGATCTTCAGATATTCTGGTTCATCCTCTGTTATTATGTCCTTATATATCTTATTATATCTTGAGTTTTTTATCTTTTCTAATCTTTTTCTTTTTCCTTTCTTCTTATACTCTCTATTATCTTAAATCTTACTTGCTCTTTGAATTCTGTCCCTCTCATGTATCTTGTTTCTGTTACTTCTTCTTCCTTTAATATTTCCATTCTCTTTTTTGCTACTCTTCCTATGTTTTCTCTTTCTTTATCTTTATCTTTTTCTCTTATGCCTTCTTTTGCTAATTTAGTTTTTGAGTCCCTAATCTTTTCTTCAAATTTTATTGCTCTTCTTAGCGCCTTCATTTTCATACTTTCCAATTTACATTCTTCTTCCACTAAATAATTTGGTGTATTCCTGTCTAATCCCAATAACCACTTAATATATTTTCTTTCTATACTTTCCAATCTCTCATCTTCTTCTCAGCCCCATACTTCTGCTCCGAATAACGCTATACTCTCCACTAATGCCACAAATAACTTTTTTCTTCTTTGATAACTATACTTAAATATCCTCTCACCTATACTCCAAGCGCTTTTCATCGCCATTACAGCCTTTCACTTTCTTTCTTCCAAATGCCTTTCATTACTATCATTTTTTTGTACAATATATCCCAGATATCTAATTTCTGTCACTTCTAGTTCATTTTCTCCCCATTTCCATACTCTATCTTTCCTTGCTCTTTTTTCGAATACTAAAATTTTTGTTTTTTTTTCGCTCAAAATCATTTTCTTTTTCTCAATGTACTTTTTGAACCTTTTTAACATATCTTTCAGCTCTTCTTCTCTGTCTGCTATTAAAACTATGTCATCAGCGTAGGATAAACTCCATATTTTTTCATTTCCTATTCTGCATCCTCCTACTTGCCCTTTTCTCATTTCCTCTTCTAGATCCACTAGGTACACATTAAATAATGTTGGGCTCAATGGACACCCTTGCCTTACTCCTCTCTCTGTCCAAAATTCATCTGATTTTTCATCTCCTACCTTCACTATACTTGTTTCTTTGTATATATCCATAATTCTACTTATCAATATTTTACTCACCTCCATATCTTGCAATCTTTCCTTTAACACCGTTCTATCTACTCTGTCAAATGCCTCTTTTAGATCAATGAAGCATGCGAATATTTTTCCTTTTGGTTTACTTAATTTGTCTTCCACTATGTGCTTCAGCGTATAAATTGCTTCCATCACTCCTCTTCCTTCTCTGAATCCAAATTGACTTTCTGCTAATTTTTGTTCAATCTCTTTTTTTAATAATTCATTTAACATACTCGCGTATATTTTATTTGCTGTGCATGTCAAAGTTACCCCTCTGAAATTATCCAGCTCCTCTTTATCACCTCCTTTACAATTGTGCATATCACTCCTCTTCTCCATTGTACTGGAATCCTTCCTTCTTCCCATACTTTCTTCATCAATTCCCATAGCGCTGCATCAACCTCTTTTGGCATATATTTCCATATTTCGTTTTCTAGTTTGTCATCTCCTGGTGCCTTCCTCGGTTTTAACCTATTTATTAACCTCTTGAGCTCTTCTTTGCTTAATTCTTCTTGATCCTGTGTACTTTTCTCTATTCTTGCATTCTCTTCTACCACCTTTTCTATCATCATAGCTTTTTCATCCTTACCACCTAGTTTCCTCATAAAATGCCTTCTCCATTCTTCAATTTCTGTCTTATTATTAACGCCTGATTTCTTCTTTCTATATCTATTTATATAATTCCAAATTTCCCTTTCTGATTTTGCGACCTTTATATTTCTTTCCTCCGTTATTTTATACCTTTTTCTTTTCGCCTCGCACCAATTTCTATACTCTCTCTTTTTGTTAATTAGATAGTTTCTATTCACTTTCTTTTTTCTCCATAGCTTCATTATTTTTCTCAGCTCCTTCTTTTTTGTTTTCCATTCTTTGTCATACCACTTTCTTTCTCCCAACCTCCATACCTTAGACTGTTTTTTAGTTTTTGGTACTGCTGCTTCTATTGCTTCTTTTATTTCTTCCCATCTTCTTTCTACTTGTATCTCTTTCCAATTCCATCCTTTGCACCTCTCCTGGTATTGGTCTATCAATTCTTGCGTCCATTCTCTTCTTGAAATTTCCTTTTCTTCCTTTCCCCTATCTTCTACCATCTCTATTTCATTTTCTAAGTATATTTCTAATGGCATTTGATCTGACTCTGTTCTTTGTCCTATTTTTAATTCTTTTATCTGATCCAACGCTTCTTGATTACTTATAACATAATCTATTACTGACTCACCTCTGCTGCCAATGTACGTGTAGTTTCCTTCTTCTCCTTTTTGTCCGTTAACTATACCCCATCCTTCTTCTGTTATATCCTTAATTAACCTTCTTCCTTCCTCGTTGATTGTTTTATCTTTTGATTTCCTGTTACTAACTTCCTTGCTTCCAATCTCCATCTCACTGACCCATCCACCTTCCCTGCCAGTCATCGCATTCCAATCTCCTGCCAGTATAATACCACCTTTTTCCTGCGTTCCTATTTTTTCTTTTATAATTTCCATTGTCTTTGCCACGTCTTGGCAGTATACTCCTACAAATGTCCACTCTTGTTCGCCATATTTAATCTCTTGTTTTACTATGTTACCACTCAATTCCTCGTAATTTTTAATTTCTAACTTCTTATTAATTCCTGTAATTATTCCTCCTTTTGCTCTACCATTTTTATGTTCTCTTTTTGCTGCAACAAATGTCCATTCATACTTTTTCGACATCTTACTTTCTATATCTTCCTATTTATTTTTCTCTAACCATGTTTCTACTAACATTATGATATCAAAATTATTTAAATATTTCCATACTTCCACTTCCTTATTTAACACTCCTGCTATGTTCCAAACGCATATATTTACACTTTTTTTTTTCTCCTCCTCCAACTCCCTCTCCTCATTCCCTTCTTGTCCTCTTCATTCTTGCGATCTTTCTGTTATCTTCCCTTGTATCCTTCTTCTTTCTTCTAGGAAATTTCCCTTTCATTCGTTGTATCTATACCACTTATCATCAATCATCAATTTCATATAGCCAATTTTTGTGGTTTTTCCTTCGTTTCTTTGTTCCTTTGATTTATCTAATATCAATCTTTGTATTTCTCTTTCTTTTCGTGTCAAATCATTTTCAATATATATTTCTTTTTCAAGCTTCTTCTTGTTCATCATGATACTGTCTTTCATTTCCTTGCTTTCCAATTCTACTACTACCATTTTCATATCACTTTTTCCTTTCTTTACCACTATTTCAGTAGCATTTTTCACCTTCACATTGACATTGATTTTTTGTTCCACAAACTCTTCCAACTTCTTTTTTATATTTTCTTTTTCTATAATTGCACCTTTAATGACAATGTTCTGTCTTCTCTTCTCCCTTTCATTTTTTTCTAATTCCCATTCTAATGTGTTGATCCTTTCTTCAATAGCTTTCTTCTCTTCTATCCACTCTAGTCTTTCTTTTAACCACCTACTTCTTTCCTCTCTCCATTCTTCTTCTCTTTTTTCTAATCTTTCCATCAACTCAAACATACTATCTAATCTCTTTTCTATCCTACTCATCTTATCATTTTGTTCTTTAACATCCTGACTTTCATCCTTTTTTTTTCTCTCTGGAAATTCAGGGTGGATTGTTCTTTGATTTTTGGATTTGTGTTTGTATTACTTCTCGTGTTAATATTTGCGTTTTTTCCTGTCATTTTCAAAATTTTACCGACTCTACAGATATCTTCCTTACAGACCCTGTCAATTCCGGTAATTCAGGAATTCTTTTTATCTACTGCCAGTAACCAGGTTGTCAAAAACTTCTTAATCTACTGTCTCTATAAAAAATATCCTTTTTTTTTGGGTTCCTTCTTTATTGACCACGTAACTACCGTCGGAAAATTTGGTATCTTCCTTATCTACTTTCTCTGTCAGTAACCGATAATAAGAAATCACCTTTCCCTACCCGTGCCTTTCCTTCTTACTGGGTTTCCTAACCTCACTTTTTCTATACTCCTGTTTGTCCACTTTTTCACTTTTCACTGTTCACTTTTCTTTAATTATTATCACTTCTTTCTTTCTCCCTTTTCCTTCGTATACAACGTTTTCCTTTGTTCATCCGATTGCACTATTCTTTTGCGACTTGCATCGGCGTCTTGTTCGTCTCTCACGTTCTCTGTCCTACCTGTTTTTCAATCCTTTATAATTCTCCTGTTCCACTTTCTTTTTTACTTTTTGTCTCTGTTTATTATGTCCTCATGTATTTCACCACTTTTTAAAGACTTTATTACAGCTATCTACCCTTGCTCTTTCTTCTATTTATGCTTTATTCAGGAGCTTACTTTTACGCGTCCACTCTCCTACGTGTCCACAACGGAAGTCCCCCACATAACTACTTATATTTTTACATGACAGTATAATGTGTGCTTAAAATTTAAAACAGCATGAAATATAAGTAAAAAATAATAGATTAACAGTTGCTGGATTAAAATTCCAGTTTTTAAAACGAAGTTCTTAATCGCGGGTTACGATGGGATATATGCTCCCCGTGTATTTCCTCTGTAGAAGGACGATTAGGAACGGGGACCCATCAGCCAGAAAGTGTAAGAAAAAAGCGTGCACTTTTAGAGGGGGGGATACAGAGTAGTAGTGGTGACACAGAGAGAGAGAGAGAGAGTATAGTGTATTTATTTAAGTTAAGGACCTACGGTCCATATTAGTCTATGCTCAAGTCTTTACAAGACTGCTAAAAGCAGTTTATACAAGGTTAGTGACACGCAGGTCACAATAGAATAAGATATATCACAGATAAATTAATTACAATAAAGTTAATTGAGATAAAGTGTAAAATAATATNTATATCACAGATAAATTAATTACAATAAAGTTATTTGAGATAAAATGTAGATTAATAGTTAAAATTTAAAATAAATTAAATAGCAAAAATCGAATATAATAAAATCTACTGATGGTAACAGTATTCTTAAGATTTTTAAAAATAGGCTAACTTAATTGCACATGTAACAACATATAAAATAATATATAATTTCATTTCTTAAGTCTAAAATCTTTACTAGTAGTATATTTAAATAATATGCTTTTAAATAATGCTGGAGTTTGGATGGATCATAGGTTAGCAGGCAGTGCATTCCATTCAATTGAGCAGCTCCAATGGTAAACGAATATTTATATGCATCTAGATGAACCTGCGTCACTAGTAACTCTGCGGTATTCGAGTTTCTGAGGTTGATTGCATTTGGTGAGACAGACTTGAAAGTAAATAGTTCAGTAATACATGCAGGTCTTTGTGCTGTAAGGATTCCCTGCAGAAGGCACAGCATAACATATCTTCTTCTGTTAGAATATGACATAATAGCATACTTTTTATAAGCTGGTGTTATATGCTCAAATTTTCAAATATCATCAATAAGGCGAAGGGCAGCATTCAAGCAACGAGTCATCTTAAGCTCCATTTCCAACGATAAGCCATAAAAGAGAGACGCACAGTAATCCAAGTGTGGAAATATAAGTGTACGTACCAAAAGATGTCTGGTGCTACTCGAGAGACTGTCCTTAAAGCGCCTAATCTGTGCCAATGCAGAGTAACATTTGCTTGCAACTATCGTACAATGTGGTCTCCACGTTAATGTACTATCGAGCATGACTCCCAGCAGCTTAACTTTTTCATTGGGTTCAATCGTTACTCCATTAAATAATACATCAGATAATGAATTATTTGCATATCGACGACCATTTATACCTCTAGTGCCAAACCAAGTCACTTTTGTTTTTTTATCATTAGCAATAAGGCCATTTACATTTAACCACATTGAGACATCTTCTAAAATCTTATTCGCCTTCTGTATAATATTTCTGGCCTCTTGGGCTTTACCTTGTAAATAAAAACAAGTCATCAGCATAAATATGATTTGTACAATCTCTACAGTTTACTAAAATATCATTGAAAAAAATTGAAAAAAGCAATGGCCCAAGTAAACTTTCCGGAGGCACACCCAAGCCACGAAAGAGTGTCTGAGAAAATTCACCATTGGGTGTACGAACGGTCTGCGATCTCTCAGTCAAGTAAGATCCGATCCACGATGCCGCAACATCAGAGAAGCCATTGGTCAAAAGTTTGGCAAGAAGTAAGTCAATTATGACCACATTAAAGGCTCGTGACTGATCAAGGCTTATCATCAGTGTAACACAGTTCCTGTCCATAGCCTCCCTAATGTCGTCGACTATTCGGATTAGAGCAGTGTGGCAGCTGTGCTGTCTTCGGAAACCAGATTGAAAACAATCGAGTATATCATTCTCATCAAGATAACTCATTATTTGCTTCAATGCAATTGCCTCCAAAATTTTGCCCAAAGTACACAATATGCTGGTTGGCCTGAAGTCGCCTGCCAGAGTAGGATTAAATTTTTTGGGCAGTGGCAAGACCAGTGCTCGCTTCCATGCGTCTGGAAAAACGCCAGACTGAAGTGATGAGTTAAATATATCAATCAAAATTGGAAAAATAACCGGCAGGCATATTTTGAGAAATCTTAAATTTATTCCATCAGTTCCGGTTGCATTAGAATGTGCAGAGCTGAAGGCCTTCAATATATCCGGTAATTCAACATGACCAAAGTAAAAGCGATGGTCTGGTGAGATTCTTGGTCTTTGGGGCGATGGTAGTGATCGGGACTCTTGCGGTTCAATAAAGTGCTTGTTAAGTTCTGTAGGAGGTATAGGGAGATCTGTAGTGGGCCCATTGCGTCTAATTAAACCCAATGACCTAATGGTGTTCCAAGTTTGTGCAATTATTTTGCATTCAGAAAAAATACGTCTATAATATGCCTGCATGGCATTCTTTACATTCACTTTGACTTCATTGCGCAGTTTTTTGTATGCAGGGTGAAACTCATCAGTCCTATAAAGTCGATAATCTCGCCATACCCGATTACGCTTTCTGGTCAACTCTCTGATGTCAGATAAAAGCCAGGGTGTGGGCCTACTCTTGATGGTTGCTGTTCGAAAGGGCGCATGGTGGTCAAGTATTCTGGTTAATTATTGTGTAAGAAGACTCACTTTGTCCTCAAGTCCTACATTTTGCAAGAAACTCCAATCAACCTCACTCAAATCGTTAAGTACTTTACCTTCATCAATGCATGTGTAGCACCGATATTTCCTTACCCTTGGAGATACTCTAGATGCTGGAATATTCAACTCAACCATGATAACATCATGTGCAGAGATCCATGGCTGTCTCAGTTGCTTACAAGTTTTTACATAGTGAACTTTATTCAAGCAGATGTAATCAATTGTAGAATCTGACTCCACACCATGATGAGTGTGATCAAAAGGCAACCTCTCCAAGCCCATGGAACTCAGAGAGTACTTGAGAATATTTTTATTAGTAGAATTGAAATTCCACTCAATGTTAAAATCACCCATCATAACCAGTTGATCATACGCGCAAGCACTATCCATTACTGCGGTCTCAACATCAGCCCAGAATCCAGATTTAGGCAGGATATACACTACGAGACAGAGTACGGTGAAATACTTGCTTTTGATTTCCGCAATTAGGAATTCCGGACGTTTAACATATACAGGTGGGGTGTCAGACACCTCAACTATTCTGAATTCAAGAGAATCGTGAACAAAAACAGCCACACCTCCAGCACCCTTGATAATCCGATCATGTCTAATTAAACGATATCCTGGTATATGATACAAATTGCTTGGTGTACTAGGCTTTAGAAATGTTTCACTAATACCAAACACAGCCATGTTGTAGTCTTTGACGAGTCCTTAAATGTCATGTAAATGAGCTGGTATAGATTGTGCATTTACGTGACTTATAACAAATCTGCTAGTGCTCACATTTGTGGTGTTATTCGCCATAGTGTATAGTATGGGATTTGCGTTCTATACCAGCACGAAGTGTAGGACACTTAATTATATCAAATGCACAATGCTTTGTATTGTGGAGCTTATTATTTTTGCAATTAATACAACATTCAGATAATCTAGATGTAAAATCCTTAGTACTATGTGAGCCAGCACAACAACCACAAACCATCTCATCATTGCAATTTGTAGCGATATGACCCAGCTTTTGACATCTGTAGCACTGCACTAGAGATACATGATCATTGAATTTGCATTGGACCCAACCGAGGCTTACTCTATCTTGAAGAAATAATATTTTGCGATATTCAGGCGGTAATTCGATCACACACGATCTATGTTTTTTGTTACGTGCTGGGTATTCGCTACGTGCACAAGCTGAAAAAGCGATCGCAGCAATACCTGTGCTATTATGTGAAACTAAATGATATGTTTGTCTTCTGCTAGCAGACTGCTAAGCATTACTATCATCAAAAAGTTATGTGTTTATACATCGACAACCATTCTAAGGGTTACATTTTTAATAAAATTATGAGTAGTATGTATACATTTTACTCGTGCATATTCATTAAAAACACAATGAAATACATCGTATACTGTGTATTTCTTAGAGTTTTTAGCTGGGGTCAGATCCTCTCTAAGCGTATCGTATATGAACGTGTGCACATACTGTGTGAACA